AGCACATCGCCAGCACAGCGGCGTCTTACCAGCATAGGGTTTAGGGTTTAGGGTTTAGGGTTTAGGGTTTAGGGTTTAGGGTTTAGGGTTTAGGGTTTAGGGTTTAGGGCTCAGGGCTTAGGGTTTAGGGTTTAGGGTCCTCAAAGCAGCCCAAAAACCTTACATCAGAAGGCCTTTGGGCCCAAAAGCCCTCAAACCCTGAAACCCCTAAACCCTGCCCCCTTAGGCCTAAAATAGTCCAAAGACCTTGCATAAGAAGGCCTTTGAGCCCAAAACACCCTTAAACAAGAGTCCTTATGGCCTGAGGATTCGTGTTTCAGGGGCTTAGCAGCACGCACCTTCAACGCGTACCGATCCTGGGGTCCCACCCTAAACCCTAAACCCTAAACCCTAAACCCTAAACCCTAAACCCTAAACCCTAAACCCTAGACCCTAAACCCTAAACCCCTAAACCCCTAAACCCCTAAACCCCTAAACCCCTAAACCCCTAAACCCCTAAACCCCTAAATAAGCCCAACTGCACAGATAGCCTTGTTCTGAGTTTAGGGCTTGGGTTTGGGATGTTCCCCCTGACACGAACAGTCCTCAAGTCGGGATTACAACAGGGGGTTCCCTATTAAGTACTGTGAGTATAAAGGGAAAAATCCCAACCAAAAAACCCCGAAACCCAAAAGCCCTAAACCCAAAAGCCCTAAACCCTAAACCCTAAACCCTAAACCCTAAACCCTAAACCCTAAACCCTAAACCCTAAACGGGGGTATAGCACGGGATTAGGGGATGAAGCGCCGCTCGCGCTCCCTACACGCTCTGAGCATCTCTTTTCTACAGACTGAGGGCAGCCTCACGCCCCAAAACCTAAGGGTTTAGGGTTTAGGGTTTAGGGTTTAGGGTTTAGGGTTTAGGGTTTAGGGTTTAGGGTTAAGTTCAGGTAAGGGGGGGGGGGCCATAGAGTCTGGGCTACCCGGAGGGGGAGGGGTGATAGGAGCCCCTAAACCCTAAAACCCGAAGCTTTACACCCTTTTGGGGGTTTAGGGTACAGAGAGTACTTGCAGGGTACTTAGTAATTAACCCATTATGAGTGTAGTTGTAACCCACATAGAAGCCCCTTAAGTACCCGAATGGGGTTGTAAGTGCAGTAATATTTCCGTGCTCGCATAGCGGCTGGCTGCCAAAGGGCTTAAGAACCGAAGCCCTAAACCCTAAACCCTAAACCCTAAACCCTAAACCCTAAACCCTAAACCCTAAACCCTAAACACTTACATAAAACCTAAACCCTAACCCCCAAACCTTGTTGAGCGCTCAACCTCGAGACCCCCCAAGTGTGGGTACATGAATCCTTTGCGTATCTTTTGGTAGAAATCTGCAACTTCGGGCTTTTTAAGACCTAGAGGATCATGGTACTTAGTAACCCAATTATAATTGTACTTAGAACCTAACTATAACCCTATTAGGGTACTCAAGGGGCTTCTATGTGGGTTATAACTACACTTCTCAGGGGTTTACTAGGAACCTGAACCTCCAAGTGGGCCAACTCTGGGCGGACTGCTTGACTGAGGCCTGGCAGTTGGATTTAAGTCTGCTTTTGGTGCTTATGGGGTTTAGGGATCACACTCAGGGTGAAGGGGCACCAACTTGTCTTCTGAAGCCGAAAGATGTGGGTGACTTCGCGTGACAAGCCGGCATGCGCGGAATCTGCGGCACGGTGTGGAGACAAGACCTCCCAGAATGCGCTGAGGCCCACACGCCCTGCTCCCTAGTAGAGATTTTGTCGCACCAAGAATTTCAAAACATAGGTCCTTCGACTGACACCCTAAGCCCTATCTCAAAATCCCCCTGTGTCTGCTCGAAATGTACTCCACCCACTCTGTTTCCAAATCTTCGGGTTTAGGCGCGTAGGATTTCGTGTTCCTAGCCACGGTTTCGGGCTTAGGGTTAATGGTTCCTTGGGCTGATAGCACAATTTGTTCTGTAGGTGTTAGCGGCTAGCGCAAAGAAGCAGCCCTCTTTCTTGGCCCACTAAACATGCGGTCTAGGGTTCAAGGTTGGGGTTTAGGGATAGCTGGGGTATAAACACAGCTCTATCTGGGGTCGGGGGTATCCTGAGCCTGCAAGTCAGGATGTCTACTAAACCCCGCAAGCCTCACTGAACCCAACACACAAGCCCGGCTGAAGCCCAAAAAGCCTAAACCCTAATTCCCACAAACCCTGCTGAACTCAAAAAAACCCTGCGGCCGGAATCCTATGCACTGTAACACCCTAAATTCCCGAAACTCCCTAAGCCCCCTAAGCTAGACTCCCTAAGCCCGCAACCGCGACACCCTATAGCCCCAGACGCCCTAGACCCTCAACTCCCAGACCATAGACCCTAAACTCCCCAGAACCTCCCCTAAACCCTAAACCCTAAACCAAAAAACCCGACTTTTAGGAAGATGCCTTAGATCATCTTGGGGTTCCTATTACAATTTAAGGGAAGTTTCCTTGACTCAAGGGTTTTTGGAATCTCAGGGTCCCGAGGCTCCCTAAACTTCCTAAACTCCCTATACCTAAACCCTAAACCCTAAACTCCCTAAACCCTAAACCCTAAACCCTAAACTCGCTGAACCCACTGAACTCAGCTACAGCTCAGGGGCATTTTCAACACGCAGCGGCAGCTGCCGGCGTGACCAAGCTCACATGAGTGTGGGGAAGTTTAGGGTTCAGGGTTTAGGGTTTAGGGTTTTGGGGTTTTGGGTTTAGGGTTTATTGTGGGGAAGTTTAGGGTTTAGGGTTTTAGGGTTTATAGGGCCTAGCGCATTTGGGCATTCAAGGGTTCAGGGCATTCAAGGGTTCAGGGCATTCGGGGTTTTGAGGCTCTACAGCGTTAGGGCTCCAAGGTGTTCGTGTTAAGGTTGTGGACTGCTGTCTCCTGCTTCGTAGGGTAACTATGGGCTAACCTTCGGGACGAAACAGACAGAGATTACCCCCAAATCCTAAACCCTGAACCCCAAACCCTAATTAAACCCTAAACCCTAAACCCTAGACCCTAAACCCTAAATCCTAAACCCTAAACCCCACGGTAAGGGCCAGCAAGCCCTGGGCTTCAAGCTTCACAGGTTCGTAGAACCGACTTATAACACCTCCGGAGTGCCCCAAGAGTTCGTTTAGGCTTTAGGGTTTAGGGTTTAGGGTTGAGGTTTAGGGCTTTGTTGGTGAGGCCTGGGTCCTCAACCAACTATACGGATACTGCCACAGCTGTGTCCTTAAGTCCCTAAACCATAAACCCTAAAACCTAAACCCTAAACCCTAAACCCTAAACCCTAAACCCTAAACCCCAAGCCCTACACACCCAGCCACTCACGAAGGCATCTTGGGCACGAAGCCTCCGGGTTTAGGCTTCTTGGGGGCTTGGGGGATTTAGGGCTTTCGGGCTGTGATTTGGGATGTTCCCCTGATACTAACAGCCCTTAATAGGCAATAAATATATATAGAGCACCATGTTACCCTATTAAAATCCCTACTAAGGACTGTTGGTATATTTTCGGGGAAGATCCCAAGCTGTGACGCTCATGCTTTGGAGCTTGCGGCTTTTTAGGGGCCGGGAGATGCATCTTCGACCCTAAACCCTAAGGCCCTCTTGTCTCCATGAGCCAGCTCTACCCTCCCGTCTATCAGGGACCTGAGAACCCTAAACACCAATTGAACCCTAAAATTGGGGTCATATACCCTATACCACTATAATTCCTTTTAAGGTATATGACCCATAAACCCCTAAACCCAAACCCTAAACGGGTTCGCCCATACATCGGAGCCCTTTAGAGGAGGTTAGGGACCATATGAAGGGCCCATGACACTACTCTTATCAGGGTCTAGGGTTTAGGGCAACACTGTCTAGCAAGCCGGGCTAGGCGACAGCTAGGGTTTAGGGTTTAGGGTTTAGGGTTTAGGGTTTAGGGTTTAGGGTTTAGGGTTTAGGGTTTAGGGTTCAGGGTTTAGGGTCGAATCATTCAAGAGCTTAGGGTGTTCGGGTTTTCGGATGCGTTTGGAAGCTTAGGGTCCGGGTGTCCAGCGCTTTCAACAAAATCAGGCACTTGGCACTTGGCAGCCTCAGGAACTCCTCAAATGGCAGTTTTATGATGGGGGTTTAGGGTTTAGGGTTTAGGGTTTCGGGTTTCATTACATGTCGTTAAGGGTTTTTTGTGTTTAGGCATGAGGAATCTGGGCTCCGCATTTCGGACCTGACGACTACAGGGTTACAGACCCAGGCCCTGGGCACCCCGATGCAGAACCCTCCACTCTTAGCGTAGCTACATGGGGTTTGGGGTTTAGGGTTTAGGGTTTAAGGTTTAAGGTTTAGGGTTTACGGTCATCAGGCTTTGGGATTCAGATGAGCTCTTCGTCCTTTTTTCCGCGCATCTGCGAGACCTTGGAGTTTTGCAAGAGTCTTCCTGTCACTTCCCGCATGCAAAGGTGCCCCGAAGTGGGGGCCGATCTTGAGTCATATTATACGTCAAACCCTGCACCCTAAAGCCTTTCGCTATAGGGTTTTAGGGTTTAGGGTTGAGGGTTTAGGGTTCAGGGTTTAGGGTTTAGGGTTTAGGGTATGAACCAGCCACTGTCAAGGACGCTGAAACCATACCAGGAACAACGAGAAAGAGGCACGCAGCCTCATGACAGACGTAAGTGCATTGACTCGTGAGGCGCACAGCCTCAGGCACGCATCTATGGAACAACTACAACGAAACTGCCCCGAACACAGGCAGCAAGAACAGGGCTTCACTGGGCATGCTTGCCTCAGGGCAGCGCTCCTTTTGGGCATCAGAGTTGCGGGTTTGGAATGGATTTTCGAGTTTACTTTCCGAGGAACGTTCCAAGAAGTCACGCGCACGGTGGTCTCCATGTCTAGAAAGAATGAGGATCTGTTTAAGGGGGATATAGAACCCCCCCCCCTCCCCCTTTTCCCGTTCCCCGTCCCCAAATGCTTCGATCTTGCTGCTAGGCGGCGGCCCCGATGATGGTGGGCACTAATCCAGACTCAATGGCAAGACTCGCACATCCTGCCGAGGGAGTCTGGAAGCTTGGAGCCATGTTGAGCTCAAACTGAAGTCGGAGAACTCAGAAGGTCCATCTGTAGTGTTGGATGGAACTAGGTACCCCAAAACCCTATTTAGTGTGGTTTCGGGGTGCCTAATTCCACAAGTAGTACTACAGATGGACCCTCCGGGGAACAAAGACAAAGGACGCCCTGAAACCCAAAGGGTCCATGTACCTATATAGTATATACTTGGGCCTTGAAGGGGTTCCCATACAGTAGCTTTAGGGCCCAAGTATATACTATATGGGTACATGGACCCTTAGCCCTAAACCCTAAACCCTAAACCCTTAGGGAAACATGCTCCAGCCTCTGCCACGTGGAAGACAGGCAGCTTCTGTTCGTCGAAGGTCAGCCGCCACACCAAGGACCCATCGGGATCGGTGTGTGCCCGCACCTAGCTCATGGCTGGGATAGTATTAAGAACTCAAAATTCTAGTCCTTTATTGAGTAGTTCATGGTTGGGACAGCATTAAGAATTCAGAATTCTCTAGTCCTTATTGAGTAAGTCATGGTTGGGATAGTATTATAAGAATTCAAAATTCGAGTCCTTTATTGAGTTTAAGTACCCTTAAACATGCAAATGCTACCCCACCGTGACAAAGGCACGTGCTGGAGCACTTTGCGAAGCATCAGCCGCATGTGCTGGCCGGCGTTGGCGAGGCTTTGCTGATGATCCTGCATGACTTCCTCGGCCGAGATCTTCCACATGTCCTCTAGATGCGTCTGCTCGTCGTTGAGGCTGCAGCAAAGGATGGACTTGGAACCATTCCTTGTTAGCCCAGCAACCATACTCTTCTAAAGGTACCCCCTTTTTTGGGGTTGGTCATTTAATAAGGGAACCCAGAACCCTAAACCCTAAACCCTAAACCCCAAACTGGGCTGCCCAGATTCACGGCAATCTGGAGTGCTGCCTGAGGGGTGACGACTCTGGCATGTTTGGAGCTCTTGATCTCCATCAGATCACCTGGGGGGGTTTAGGGTTTAGGGTTTAGGGTTTAGGGTTTAGGTTGGTTGGTTGGTTGGTAGGTAGACACATGCGTGTCAGTCCAGGGCAGGACATATGCTCACCCTACAACTCATCCATGTGGTCACTGATCTTCCCGGCAGATGCCGTTTAGGGTTTAGGGTTTAGGGGGGCTCATTTTCAGAGTATGGCATCTTCTTGGCGTTGAGGGTTTGGGGGTTGGGCTTTTGGTTGTGGGGGTTAAGATGCAAATGTGAGGAGGACCCAGCCGTGTATAAGAGGTGCCCCCAACAAGGAACCCTGAGGTAGTGAACCTGCCACCTGCTTCATCGGATGCGTCGACCTCACTTGTTACCATGAACTTCCTGCCGTCAACATGCAAAGTCGTGGCGGCCACAAACATGCCGACGCCAGTGTTCTTGCCGTTGCTGCAGAGCAACCTGGTGGTTTAAGGAAAAGGTGGGACCCCCTAATATAGACCCCCAAATAGTCGGGTTCCTGTATAATCCGGACCCCCCAAAAAGGTACCCCTAGTTTCGGAAACCCCCACCTTCCTAAACCCTAAACCCTAAACCCTAAACCCTAAACCCTCAACCCTACTAAGGACCCCGCAAGAAATGGTACCCCGAATTTCGGAAACCCCCCCCCACCTCTCTACGGCGTGGCCGGCATCGGCTTGGTTGTGGTAGCTTCTGGGCACGTGCAAGACAAAGACCGTCTCTCGGAGCTGTTGCAAGTAGTAGACGTCTTTGAGCCGATTCGACTCCCCGGCCAATGCCTTGATTCATGATGTTCGTATATGTTTACATCACTACTTACTTTCTTATACTCCATTGCAAATTTTGCCATACATCGCTACATATTACGAGATGTTACTACAAACTACTACATCTTACTGCATTCTTACATGCTTGCTTACAAGCAGTGCCTTGATGAAGGAGGTCCCACAGACGAAGTCATAGGAGGCCAGGTCCATGCCCAGCTTGCGCATGATGGCCAGGCCCAGGCGCCCGCTTCCCGGCTCCGCAGGATACCTGGGGGCTCACGGGCATCCGCAGAAGATACGTAAGGGAGTAGTAGAGTGGTAGAGGAATACAGTAGTAGAGTAAAATAGGAATATAGATATGTAGTAAAAACATCATAGTGATATAGAAATATGATATCATAATATAAACATGTGGTAATATAGAAATTAGTAACATAGTAGTATTGTATTATAGTAATCTAGCGAGATGGTATAATATTGCAATATCTTCTGTTGTATAGTGTGGAACATCAAGTTTAGGGGTTTAGGGCTTGTGAATTGCGGGGAATGTAGGGTTTAGGGTTTCAATAGGGAATATTGGGGTCAACTGGGATCCACGGGTTAGATGATTCAATTCCGCTTCCTGCGCGCAGCCGAGCTGAAGACATGTGAACGAGGCCCGTAGCAGGAAGGGGGAGGGCTTTGCAGTATATCCCCAACTTGGCTGACGACGCCTCCTAAACGTTTAACTTTTAGGCTCCTTGTTGTAGTTTCTACAAAAACCCAACAGGTTGAAGTCCTAAGAGCCAGCCAGAAGAAAGCCAAGCCAACACCGTGTCCCTTCCACGACCTGAACAGAAACTCTAAGCTCTGAACCCCTAAACCCTAAATAAACCCTAAACCCCAAACCCTAAACCCTAAACCCTCGCTGATCCCACTCCTCTGTAGACCTCAAAAAGGCAACTGGCGGAAGCCGGGCACTCATAAAATGGCCAGGGTGCTGGTGGCTGCCCTTGGCATGATTCTTCTTCCTCTGCCTGCAAGGGTTATACGGTTCTTTTAGGGTTTTAGGGTTTAGGGTTCAGGGTTTAGGGTTTAGGTAGGGTTCATGGGGGTGGGTACCGGGGGAACCTTACGGAAGCTTAGGGACGCTTAGGGAGTAGTGGGGGAACCTTGGGTTACATACCCTCCTAAACCCCCCCCCCCCCCCCCCCCGCCCTTAAGAACTCTAAAACCCTAAAACCCTAAAACCCTAAACCCTAAACCCTAAACCCTAAACCCTAAACCCGAAACCCTAAACCCTAAACCCTAAACTCAATCTCTGCCAGCAAACAGGGTTTGGGGCTTTGGGTTTAGGGTCGTCGTCGGCTAGGTTGGCCTGTTAAGCCCTTTGAACCATATTCTGTTCCTTCGTCAGCTCCTCTTCAACATACGGACGGAAAATAGAAAAACAACATTAACCCTAACCCCCAAGGGCCATCCAATCACGGAGACCCTAAACCCTAAACCCTAAACCCTAAACCCTAAACCCTAAACCCTAAACCCTAAACCCTAAACCCTAAACCCCAAACCCTAACCGATGGGAGACCCTCAGCAGCAGCAGCCTGAGACCCCAACCACAGAAAGCTCGACCGTGCAATGCCCCGAAAAACCCTGCCTCCTACACCCCCAACTAATTAGATAGAACCCCTACCTGCTAAACCATCAGCAAGACAAACCCTAAACTCTACCTCTTAAACTCCAGACTATGATAGCAAGCCCTAAGCCCCTAAGCCCTACCTAAACCGTAACCCCTGCCTGGCATCCACACGTGGAAGGGGCGCTGGAAGCACTGGGATCTTCGCCAAAGGTGGCTTCCTCGTCAAGCCTGGGTTTAGTTCTGAATGCCCAAATTGTACGTGTGGTTCAGGGGACGGGTGGGCAACTCTGTGCCCACTTGGGCGCTAGCGCCGTTCCTATAGAACGTATAGATTATGTTGTATAACGAGTTGCCCAAAAAGGATGATATTTATTCTCACTCACCCAAAACCAGAATGAGAATACTAAACCCTGCACCCTAAATACCGCACCTTAAACGCTACACCCCAAACCCGAAAACCCTATAAGCCCTAAACCCTAAAACCCGAAACGCTGGAGAAGAGCCCCACATAAGGCATGTTTGGGGTTTAGGGTTTAGGGTATATTTGAACCCTAACTAGGGTTTAGGATTTAAGGGTTTTGGAGTTTGGGTTTCGGGGTTAGGGCTTACGGGCTATCCGGAACTGAGGACTAGACCCCGAACCTTCAACCCTTGAAGCAGTACACCGACGACCCATCCCTCTCCCCACTTACCTGGGTCTTGCTTTGAGTGGTTTAGGGTTTAAGATTTAGGGTGGTCTACCCGAAGCCCTAAACCCTAATTCCGCTTTCTAGGTTTCAGGTTTCAGAGCTTAGTTTAGGTGGTACAGGCACCCCCTAAACCCTAAACCCTAAACCCTAAACCCTAAACCCCAAACCCTAAACCCTAAGCACTCAATGAAACCCCAGAGGTACCCTGGGCCCCAACTTCCAAACTCGCAGCCCCAAACCCCTTGTAGCGTCTAGGGTCTAGGTTTAGAACCCTATACCCTATAAACCCTAAACCCTAAACCCTAACCCTAACCCCTAAACCCTAAACCCTAAACCCTAAACCCTAAACCCTAAACCCTAAACCCTAAACCCTAAACCCTAAACACCAACCCCTGCCCCGCAGCTACAGCTGGGGCAGCCCAGATGCGGCAGCGCTCCATCATGTCCACCTTTTCCAAGGGTTTAGGGGGGGTTTAGGGTTTAAGGTTTAAGGGCCAAGGGTTTAGGGCCAAGGGTTTAGGGTTTAGGGTTTCGGGTTCAGGGTTTGGGGCGGCCAAAGCTTCAAAAAACTGGGGGGGGGGGGGGATGTGAATTCGGGCTTGGATCACCTAAAGGAAGGGCGCACTCGCTTGCTCGCTTGGGCGTTCGGGTGTTTGTCCCCTTCAGAAACGGCGAATGTCCAGACCCAAGCCCTAACCCTAAACCCTAAACCCTGAACCCTGAACCCTAAACCCTAAACCCTGAACCCTAAACCCTAAACCCTGAACCCTGAACCCTGAACCCTAAACCCTGAACCTAGCCCCAAACCCACGCCACCAACTCGGGAGCAGTGGTAATCGGGATGCTCGGGCCCGCCACGGCTTTGTCGTCCCACTCCACCTTAGGAGGTTTCAGGCTTAGGGGTTAAGCGCTTTAGGGTTTAGGGTTTAGGGTTTAGGGTTTAGGGTTTAGGGTGTAGGGTTTAGGGTTTGAGGCTTAAGGTTGAGGGTCTAGGGGAACTAGGGTTTAGGTTGAGGGTGTTGGCATCACGCTTAGGCTTTAGGATTTGACCTTTGGGCGTAGGCTTTTGTGCTTGAGAGCTTTTGTTCTTCACGTTCGAGGCGTGAGGCCTTTGGGGTTTCGGTGGGGGTTCAGGGTTTAAGATGTTTATGGCTTTAGGCCTCTAGAGTTTTGTTTTGAGGCTTTAGGCCTCTAGGATTTCAGGGATGGAGCGGGGGTTCAGGGTTACGGGGTATAAGGTCTTTACCAGGTTTCTTGGCTTTGGGGCTAAGGGCTTATCGGCTTCCGTGGGTCAGGAGTTCAGATTTGGGGCGGGGGGTTGGGTAGCGCGTAGTAAGCTTAAAAAAGGTACCCTAAAGCCTAATAACCAATGCGCTAGTGTGATTTTTGCGAGGCTTTCGGATCAGGTATGGGGTAGTTAGGTGTTGGAGTGAGGTTTTCGGGTTGGGGCCTTATAGGGGTAAGAAAGGCTGCTTAGGTTTAATGTCAAGGTGTTTAGGCTATTGGATTCTAGGCTTAAAACTCCTGGTTTAAAGAATCCTAAACCCTACCTGACCCTAATCTCACAGCGCAGCCCGAACCGCCACCAAGCGTGACTCCACCTGCAGCCAGTCTCTGTCCGGCGAGATGCTCTGCAATTCCTCCTGGGGTTTAGGGTGTAGGGTCTGGGATTTAGGGTTTAGGGTTTTTTTAATAGCATAAGCCCTGCTCTCCGAAACAGAGAGGAAAACAAAACTGAATCCCATGCCTTGAACACGACACTCCGACACCCTGAGCCCTGAGCTCTAAAACCCAGAACCTAGAAAAAACAGCTCCTCATAACGACGCCGGCCGTGAAAAACAAAACTAAGCACTAGCTTGAACATCCAGTCAAAGACGATCAAGAATCAATGCTTCTCTGTCAGGATCTCGATTCCCGCAAGCCCCTGACGCTAACCCCATGAACCGGCAGGGCAGTCAGACAACCAAACAAGAGCAACCCTTCAAACCGTAAACACTAAACCCTAAACCCTTTTAAACCCTTGAAACTCCAAACCCTCGAAACCCTAAACCCGAAACCCCAAACCCAAAACCCTGAACCCCAAACCCTAAACCCTAAACAACCCCCGTTTTCCTTAAACCCTGTAGAAGTGCAATCTCCCTCCTGCAGGCGCAGCAGTGTGTCCAACACGGCGAGAAGAGCCTCCGAGTTGAACCCCAGCTCCTGTTTCAATTCTTAGGGTTTAGGGTTTAGGGTTTGGGGTTTAGGGTTTAGGGTTTAGGGTTTAGGGGACTATAGGGTTGAGGGTTTAGGGCTTCGGGTCCGCCGACCCTGGGGGGGCCCCACCCCCACCCCCCCCCCCCCCCCCCTAAACCCCATCCAAAACCCTAAATTTGTTCTCCTGCGAAATCGGCGGCTTGAGCCGGAGGCTCTTAAATCTAGGGTTTCGGGGGGGGGGGGGGGAGGGGGACTTGAACCAGATTCTTAGGGTAGTTACATGGTCCCTATATGGGCCTCTTGGGTTTACGGCGTAGGGTTAGGGTTTTAGGGTTTAGGGAAAGAACTGGAGTCCTAGGGTATCTACATGGTCCCTCAGCAGGGGCCCTTGAAAGGGGACCCTTATATCCCCTTATGTACCCTACACAAATTAAAGGCCGATACATCAGAACCCTTAGGGGAGGTTAGGGACCACATTAAGGGCCTATGAAACTACACTCAGATCAATCATGCTTCTGCATGTGTGTTGCTATGACTCTTGCTGCTTAACCTGCGTTAAACCTACGTAGCCCGAAACGCCTTAAAACCCCATACTTGTTGGGGGAACGGAGGTATTGCGAAGAACCATGTAGACCCTCCACGGTGCAGCATGCAGCGCTGCATAAAGTTGGAACATGGTTTAAGGACGATTCGTGCTAGGATTCCCTTTAGGCAAGCCTGTTGGGGGATGAGGACAATGATGTTCCAACTGTTGGGAGTTTACCACAAGCGCCAAGTGGCCCCTGAACCCTAAACCCCAAACCCCAAACCCTAAACCCGAAACCCCAAACCCTAACCTCTACTTTGGGAGCCTACTGTAGTAGGGTGGGTGTCGAATGGGGGTCTGTAGAGACCTCAGGCTGCAGGATGTTTAGCTTTTGGGTTCGGAGGGTCCCTTCAACCCTAAACCCTAAACCCTAGACCCTAAACCCTAGCCCTAAACCCTAAACCCTAAAGACTAAGCCCTGAACCCTTTCTGCAGGGCTCCTCATGGAAGGCCCGATATCCTGGCGTCTGGAGGCACTTCTGAAGCCCAGCGAAGCCCAGGCGTCCCGTCAGCAGGCTGTCATCCACGCCCTGCAACCCGGAGGAAGCATTTCTGGTTTAGGGTTTAGGGTTTAGGGTTGAAGGGACCCTCCGAACCCAAAAGCTAAACATCCTGCAGCCTGAGGTCTCTACAGACCCCCATTCGACACCCACCCTACTACAGTAGGCTCCCAAAGTAGAGGTTAGGGTTTGGGGTTTCGGGTTTCGGGTTTAGGGTTTACTAAATAGGGTTTCTGGGTACCCAAGTCCATAGTCCATAGTACTACAAACGGACTCTCTGGGCGCTACAAGTCCCCAGGCTTGGGTATCCGAGATGGGATTCATGAGCCACTTGTGACTTGCTGGCAACTCATGATGTCGGCTTACTTCAACCTGGGAAAGCTTTTGTTTGAAGACTGGTGGCCCTCGCAAATTGGCCTCTTCATATCAAATGCTGACCATGGACAATATTCGAAATGCTTGATTCATCTTCAAACAAGCTTGTGGTTCTCCAGCAAGTGCTGATTTGTATGGGCTCTCTGCAAAAATTGGGATTCCAATTGGTTAGAGCCATGCGGGAACTGAAAGCATCCTGGGTAGTCTTGATGTTCTTTGGACTGGGTCCATTTGAACTATTGAAGCTGTCCTGTTTCGTAGCCCAAGCTGGGTGCGTTGTGGGGGGTTTACGAAATTAGGGGTGCCTTATTGGAATCCTTATTCTGGGGGGGGGGGGGGGGGGGGGGGGAGATCCTACTATTTGGGGGTCTAAATTAGGATCCCCTACTTTCGGAAACCCCTTGTTGATTTGGGATTTACATGGTGCCCGGAACGTACTTTAAGGTTGGGATGCAATCTCTGTGTTGCGCTCTGCGTGAGCTTGCTGCTGCTTCGACAGTCTTGCGGTGCGTTCGGAAGTCTCCCCGGACAGACACCTCCAAGCAGGAGTCCGCCACCAGATTCACCTGGGTCGCGAGCCCGAGCTTGTACCTAAAACCCTAAAACCCGAAAACAACCCTAACACCCTAAAAACCTAAGAACCCTAAAAACCCTAAAATCTCAAAACCCTAAAAACTCCAAACCCCCCAAAATCCCCAAAACCCAAAAACTCTAAAAAACCCCGAAGCCAAGAGGTCCTCGAGGGTCCATAAGCTCTGAACCCGAAGCCCTAACCCTAAACCCTAAACCCTAAACCCTAAACCCTAAACCCTAAACCCTAAACCCTAAACCCTAAACCCTAAACCCCTAAACCCTAAACCCCTAAGGCCATAAAAACCTTCAAAACCCGAAAGCCAAGAGGTTCTCAAGGGTGCATATGGGGCTTGATCTAAAGGTGCTTATTGCGAAACTGCTTAGGGCTCCTATGGGCTTAGGGTTCCTATGGGCTTATATAAGGGGAACACGCGGTTGCTTCGATTTTTTATCAACTCAACTACCATATGCTCCCATTTTGCTGCTTCGAAGTGCTTTGGGATTTGGGCGGTTCTGGAAGTTAAAGATACAACTTGTGTTGTTTGTTTGTGTGTGGGCGAGGGGGGGGGGGGGGGGGGGGGGGGGGGGGGGGGGGGGGGGGGGCGGGGGGTGGCGGAGGAGGGGGATTCCTTTATGAAAGAAAGAGCCTGGATACGAAGGACCAGTTAGCAAACGCTTAAGCCGAAAAGAAAAGGGACTCTTTTTCTAGGAACGGTGATGTTGGGTTCTTATGCGATACTTAAGGCGACGGGCTCACTCTTACAGCTAACTCCCAAACCCCAAAGTAGAGCAAGTGGACTGTCCTTCGGCCTTACCAAACCCTAAACCCTAAACCCTAAACCCTAAACCCTAAACCCTAAACCCCACAAAGAGCATCCAAGTCACATGCATCGGGGACTGGAGGTGTTCCAGGGCGCTGCGAACGGAGTTTATCTCCTTGAGGCACTTCCTCAACTTGTCTCCGAATAGGGTTGAGGGTTTAGGATTTAGGGTTTGGGGTTTAGGGCTTTCTTGGAAAGCCTCTAGAAGTTATCATTTGATATTTATTAGGTTTAGGGGGTTTAGGGGCTCTTGTGAATATAACCGAGTTATAGTGACGCGTGTACTCAAAAGTGCAGGCCTGGCTTCGGGCACCGGGCAGGGTGCGGCAGGTCTTTGCGACCCGCGGCCTTCTTGGCCTTCGGCTTCGCCTGCGCTGGAGCACGGGCCTTGCGCCCGATGATGGCCTGTATCTCTTGCGCGCACTCCTGGCACCGACTCTTTGGGCCTTTCACGTGTACCTTGACTGACTTCTGAAACTCCTCCTAAGAGTTTAGCTTTTCGGCTCCTCTACAAAGAAACCAAAAAAAGGTAAAGTCCTAAGAGCCAGCCAGAAGAACGCCAAGGTGCGGCCGCTTGGTGGTCGCCCTTCGGGACGTAGATCCCGACGCGGAAGTTGCCTTGCAGCTGCTTCAGGGTCTCGCCACCCTTGCCGATGATGAGGCCTCTCCAGAGACTCCAAAAGCCCCGTAGTTAAGGAAGATACCCTTCAAGCATATTAGGGATCCTGCTATGGTTTGAGGGATAAGGAGGATACCCTTCAATCATATTAGGGATCCTACTATATAATTTGAGGGATATGCCTTAACAAAAGGGGTTTTGGAGTCTCTGCCTCTGTAGACAGCGGGGACTGGGACCTCCAGGTCACACTGCGCCATGGCTGGCATGGCGGGCAAGGTGGGGTGATGGGTCTCTGCTTGCTGCTTCCTTGGCTCGGGCAAACTTGCATCGTCGGCGGTTTCCTGGCAACGAAAGTGGGCCCTATCCTAAGCCCTAAGCGGCAAGCCCTAAGCCCTAAGCCCTAAACCCTAAACCCAATATACCCTATATTCTCTGAATCAGACTCTTTTTGGGTAGCCTGTCCTCAAGGCCAAGGCTTCGCATTATGATGCGAAACCCCCCCCCCCCCCTTGAGTCCCTAAACCCTACCCCCCCCCCAAAAAAAAAAAAAAAACTGAACCCTTAAACATCGGGTGACCCTAAACTCTACAAAATCCAATGAACTCAGCCTGTCAAGCCTTTCAGGACTTGGCCCTTCGAACTCGACTCATAGCCTAAACCCCAAACCCTGAACCCTAAACCCTAAACTCTGCAGCCCTAAACGTATTTAGTATGGCTTCTGGTTTAGGGTTTAGGGTGTAGAATTCCAAACGGACCATCTGGGCAATCCAGAATCCATGTGGGTTTGGGTTGGTCTTTGTGCAAGTCTTAAGGCTCAGACCGAACTTAGACCTTCACCACATGAACCCTAAACGGGTTTATGGTTCACAAACCTCAATAGGAATTATAGTAGTCATAGTAGTATAGGGTTTGTGACCGCAATTGTTAGGCTCATCTGGTCCCTAGGGCAGGTTTTGCGGGGTTTAGGGTTTAGGGTGTAGAGTTTAGGGTTTAGGGTTTAGGGTTCTACGCCTTAGCCACGACAGCCTGATATGGTCTCACCACCTCCCTGTGCGGGCTGGTTGTCTTGCTGAGGGGCCGGCTTCAGCCAAACCCCAACAACCCTACCTGACAACTCACAGAACTCAATCCTAAACCATAAACCCTAAACCCAAAACTGCCCAAAACCCGAGGCCTAGGTCGGTGAAACTGGCGCAGCAGACTCGCGCAGGGCCTGCGAGGGCCGCCAACAGGGTTTGAGGGCTCAGGGTTTCAGGGCTTAGGGATTTAGGGCTTCAGGGTTCAGATTTTGGGGTCAGGGATTTAGGGTTTCAGGGCTCAGGGTTTAGGGATTTAGGGTTTCAGGGTTCAGGGTTTAGGGATTTTGGGTTTCAGGGTTCAGGGTTTAGGGACTTTGGATTTCAGGGCTCAGGGTTTAGGAATTTAGGGTTTCAGGGTTCAGGGTTTAGGGATTTAGGGTTTGAGGGCTCGGGGGTTAAGGGTTTAGGGATGTAGGGTTTAGGGATTTAGGGGTTCAGGGTTCTGGGTTTAGGGTTTAGGGATTGAAGGTTTGCTTTAAGTTTGAGGTTGTGAAGGTCAAAAGGGCTTGAGGGTTAAAGGGTTAAAGCGTTTAAGGGTTTAAGGACTTGGGGGTCTAAGGGTTTGGGGTTTAAGGTTTATAGGGTTTAAGGGATTCGGGTTTAGGGGGACCTGCAAGGCATCTCACGCCATCTCGATGCCCCTGCCCTTATAAGGAAGCGCGAAGCCAGGCGATCATCTCGGCGCAAGCCGACCGATCGTGCCACCTGGAAATTGGCACATGCAACGCGCGCAGCACGCCCTGATGCCTGTCCTCCATAAGTGTGACAGTTTCACGCAAAGTGTCGATTCGCTGAGTCTGTCGAAGAAGCTCAGCGCTCAACCTTCCTTGCTCCCTGGTCAGCAAGGCCATCTGGTACTCATTCTAACATCCTTAAGCCCCGTTTTAGTCTTTTGTTAATATCTTCTTGGGGGGAATAAAGGGGTTTAGGGTGTATAGGGTTTATAGGGTTTAGGGTTGGTCATCCCTATAAACTCTAAACCCTAAACCCCTAACCCCTCTAGACCCTAACCCCTAAACCCTAAACCCTAAACCCCAAATCCTGAGCCCTAAACTCCAAACTCCAAACCCGAAACCCAAAACCCTAACCCCCAGCCCCTGAACCCTAAACCCGCCGAGGTTTCGCCTCGTGTCGAGGGCTCAGCGAATCTGCGTCGAGGCGGTGGCGCGGCCCGGCGGCGGCCGGTGCAGACTCGCCTTAAGGTGGATGCCCAGAGGGTTTAGGGTTTGGGGTTTAGGGTTTGGGGTTTGGGGTTTGGGGTTTGGGGTACCCAGAGGCTCCATGTGTGGAGTTATGATGGAATTAGGCACCCAGATAGAGGGGTACCTCTTCTTGATTCGCCACTATATGCACCATTCTTACGGCTTTTTCGCGGTTTTCAAGGCAACTAAACCCAAAATCCCCGCCCACATCGCCCATTCTGGCTCATTTAGGGTTTAGGGTTTAGGGCTTCGAAGGTTTAGGGGCAGAAGAGGCCTAAACCCTAAACCCCAAACCCCCCAAACCCGCCAACCCCCCCCCCCCCCCCCGCCCCACGAAAGGAGGGACCTTTGCAAGGGACCTTAGGGGCTACTTAGGGGTTATCTAGGGGCTACGTAGGTATACAGGGACTCTATAACGTATGTATGGGGGTTATACACGTAGGGGAATAGGATCCCCTTAACTTCAGGTTCACCCAGGGACAAACGGAGGCAGAGTGACCTTAGGGGTCATGTGGACTCTGTAAAGCTATCAGGGATATGGCTTGCGAAAGTAGGGGACCCCCAATATAAACCCCCAAATAGTAGGATCCCCTTATATTGAGGACCCAAACAAGGTACCCGAATAGCGCAAATCCCCATTTTGTATAGGCGGTATTCAGGGGTCCTATCGGGGAATAAGATTATTGGGGTTCACAAGGTTAGCTCCAGCGGTAAGGTTGGCTTGGGGGTTTCAACCTTAAACAAAATACCCTGGACCCTACACCCTACACCCTAAACCCTAAACCCTAAACCCCTCGTGAACCCTCTAAACAAGGCACCCGGGCCCTGCAACGGGGTTTCGGTGCTTTCAGAGGTCAACTTGTAGGGCACCGTTCAGCTGTGTTGGTTTTTGCTTGGGTGTTCTAGGGCTGCGGGGTTTAAGGTTTGTAGGGCTGAGGCTAAGGGCCTATAGGGGTTTAAGGTGTCGGGTTTAGCGGGCTCAGGGTGTGGGGCTTAGGATGTTGTTTGGGGTTTAGGGCGTATAGGGTTTAGGGTTTGGCGGCCCTAAACCCTAAACCCTAAACCCTAAACCCTAAACCCTAAACCCTAAACCCTAAACCCTAAACCCTAAACCCTAAACCCGGGGGGGGGGGGGGGGCTATCTCAAAACCTTTTGGCCAGCAGACCTGAGCTCGACCATACAGGTCGTCGAGGTCAGGATCCAGGTGTTTGACCTCAAGGAACCCTAAACCCTAAACCCTAAACCCTAAACCCTAAACCCTTTTAGACCCATATTCATGGTTCAGGGTCTAGGGCTTAGGCCCTGGCATGATGGCGAAGATGAGAGGCAGGGTGCTTCGGAAGTCTAGGTAGACACTGAAAATAGCATTCTCGAGTTTCCGGTTTAGGGTTTAGGGTTTAGGGTTTAGGGTTTAGGGTTTAGGGGTCCTAAACCCTAATCTCTAAACCCTTTTGTTTCAGCTTCCCCTTTGGGTTCTAAAAGGGAACCTCATGTGTAATTTCTGAGGCCTCATGAACCATCAAGACGAAGCAAGCGATGCAGCTGCAAGAAAGCGAGGGAAAAGCTACACCCTGATATCTTATGATCCTCGCTGAGAGCTGCGTGAGGGACTCAAGATTTCGCGTCGTTAGGCTCGGTTTAGGGTTTAGGGTTTAGGGTGCAGGATTTAGGATGTAGGGTTCAGGGTCCATGGGTGATTCCATACATGGCGGGAGCGAGACATCATCCACCGGCGGCGGGTCTGAGAAAAGTCGTCCACCAATAGTGCGGAATCTGTTGTTGCCGAAGATTCCACTGTTGGCGGAGAACCATCACCCTAAACCCTAAACCCAACACCCAAAATCCTAAACCATAATTCATTGGAAAAGACTTTGTATTAGGTTTTAGGTACTGGTGTTAAGGAGCCATTTCAGTAATCCAAGAGACTGTATTCGACCCAAAGACCCTCAACCCTAACTATTCTCGTGCTTAAGGAATGTTTTTCTTTCACAGTCGGGTCTGGACCTCTAATGGTGCCTGCCAAGATTGCGGTTGCGGGGCATTTATGAGATACGGTGCGGTGGGGCTAGAGGCTGCTCCCTGTGGACCAAATGAACCCAAAGTTTGCTCCCATATACCGGATACTTCTATAAGCCATTCAGGCATATGAATCCTAAAATTGGGGTCATAGACCCTAGACGACTAACTATAATTCAAGCTAAACTTCATAAGCCGCCCTTTCGGGTTCAGGTGCTTCACCACGCTCTTCTGCGAGATGCCCGTGCGTTCTTCAGTCCCGGGCAGCCCTTCATACTCCATGGCGGCCCTCAACGCTAACATTACACCCTACCCTAAGGGTCCATGTACCTTATTATTATATACTCAGACCGAAAGTCCTTATATATAGGAAGTACTTTAATGCCCAAGTATTCCATAATTAAGTACATGGACCCTTAGGGCTACACAGCAAACCCTTTTGCCAAGAAACAAACAACAACACAACAAAAACCTGTGAAAGCAAAGCGTGGCAGATCGAATGGGTCCAGGGGGCCCTATAAATCCCAAACCCCTGAAACCCTGCACGCCGAACCCCATCCCAATTAAAACCTAGTCCGTTTGGGGGTTTTAGGCCGGCGGCGGACCCAGTAACGCTTACACAGACCTAACACGAGGCTACGTGGTAAGTGCTCTGCGGCCCCAAGTATTGCCTACAAAACAGCCTTTGCCCGTTAATGTGGGCTTGTGGATCTAACCCGAAACCCTAAACCCTAAACACTAAACCCGGGTTTCAGGCTCTAGTGAGGGTATTGAGTCTACAATAAGACATGTTTGGGGTTCAGGACAACAAAACAGAACGGTTTAGGGTTTAGGGTTGCTTAGGACTTAGGGATTAGGACTTAGGCTTTAGGGGAACCTAGACTCAAAACTCTAACCCTAAACCTTAAACCAAAAACCCTAAACCCTAAACCGTAAATTTCACAACTTCACGGCTGCAGAGTCTTGGG